GGTTTATGGTGAACCCAAGTGGATTTTGCATGCATTAACAATAAAATTTACATAAGAGCCAATACAATAAGTCGACGAAGGATATCAAAACAGAATTTATATAATGCTACTATACATCCTAAGTCATTTTGCGAAAATATAATATGCATAACTAAATAATGATAGAGCAAATCTTGACATCTGATACACATAAGAGTTGTCATTCACAAGGACAAATTGACAAGCTAATCAAACAAACAACGGAGTAATTACTAACATAAATAAATTAATTTTCCACCACCTTATTTGTCCTTAACGATTTATAAGCAAATGTACCATTAATTCCTCTTAGACATGCAGGATTAGTTGCATAGTCATGCTTAACATCTAGAATAAATCAAATCAAAGGGCATCACCCAAAGCTACAATAGAGAGATGTTAAATAATGGAACACTATCATGGAATGCTAAATCTTCCAGGACCAGTACATGTATAATCTAAATGAAATGAGAAGCTAATAGGACGGGGAAAGAAAAAAGACACGTATACGAGTGACAATCACAGTGAGGACTATACTCAAATCTTCAATATCATTACCTAAACTTTGAACAAAATGCGTAGATTTTAGGCTAACTATAAAAACATGAAAAACAACAAGATGACAGGTTTCAGCATATTACTCTAAGTTATATAAAATGATTTACACTTAAGAATTGCCATTTATCATCACACAAGCAGTATTTAAGCTGAAATAAATAACTAACCAAACTTAACGAAAAGATTATCAACACAAGAGACTCTATGCGAAAGCATATCATTCCGTAGAGTTAACTGTAAGATAAAACCGAATGGAGTTGCACATTTGTGACTCGGTAATGATATCGATTGAGAAGGATAAAATCAAAGGATCGAGTCAGACAAGATTTTTAGAATCGAAATAAAGTATGACAAGGATAAGTTGCTCTCAACCTATTATACCCTTCACAGAGAACATATAAACTTGAATTGACTGGTGCAAGAGTTGGCGAATCAAAAGGAAACCACAACGGACGACCTAGATAAACTAAATAATACATTTAAGCATTATACAACTATGAGTCGAAACAACATAGATAGAACATCTCCACATGGTCAGCATATTCAACTGGGGACTGAATAATGAAAGAAATATAGTCATGAGCTTAAACAAATGCAAATCTTAACTAGCACATTTAATCCAAATGACAATAGCGACAGTGGAATAAACAATTAGCGATATCTTATGAGCTTTTGTAGTTTGTGATGGAGGAACTCGTAGCAAAATGATACACGTAAGACCATCAGTAAAAACATACTATCGAATAATCGATTTATCTATCCATTTTTACTTGTTTCAAACAAACCAAGACCACCCTAAGCGACTAAAAAAAATTAAAAAAATGGAGAAACAACTATCACCACAAATACTCGACATTAAAATAAAACTCCGTAATGTAAAAAAAAAAATAGAAAACAAGCACAAATAATAACATGACTGACTCAAACATAAACCATTACTGATTCGCAGTTAAAAATGCACAAACACAATCTAAGAGTTTTGACTTCCCCATAGCTTTCAATGATCAAGAAACAAAAGACCAAGTTGATAAGAAAAATAGAAAGGTTTAGCTAAGATGAGATTTAACTTTATGGAGGCAGCGAAATGGACAAGACGAGCAGAGACTGTGACTTTCACCCTAAGCGGAAAACACGAACGTGAATGACGCCTCCAACATTCTAGACAGAAACTTTGAACAGGTGCTGAACTGATTGCTCTCTGTTCTCTCAAGAACTACTTAATGATCTATTTCTGAGCTATTTTTCTCTGAATACCTAATACCCGTGTAAAACAAAATATTGTACTAATAGGTATCTCTTAATCGAAGTTCGCTGGAAAAGTTCTCCTAAATTCTCTTCTATTTTTCGTATGTTGACCCCCCTCTAAAAGTGAGGAAGAAGGAGTATATTTGGGAGGAAAATTAGGTTAAAAGAAAGGGGGAAAAGGGTTGGGAAAATTGAATTCCAGGCCCACCCCAGTTTGGATTTCAGCTTCCAAATCTTATCCAAAACTAAAGGAAATATGCGGATTTGATGCCCGAAATTCATCAAATCCCAACGGGAGGGAGGCGAGGTGGACGCTCCAGATAAAACTAGTGACCTTGCTTGGTGACGTGTATTCATCTTATGACTGCAAGGACAAACAAGGACGAATCTTGTAGGACTGACACAGAGAAAAATGGGCTGAAATCACGGAAAAGACTGTTCCAAATCATACCCGCCTGGAAGGAGATGAGTCTCATGGAATTTGCGACGTTTGCTGCTTCACACGTTTTCTAGGCTCTTCATCGGTGCTGGAATTGTCAAGCGGTTTATGGGTTTTCCCCCATTAACGCATGAAGGAGAAAGCTGGATCGGGTCGGGAAGGAAGATAGGTTGGGTAAAAAGGGAATTTGGGCTAAAGGTATTGGGATGGAAAAAGGGTGAGGGAGTTGGGTTTGCCAAAATCACCCCAACAATTGGTCTTTTCTAATGGTCCTCTCGAAAAGTGGCCTCAATGGCAAAATACAAGTAAATGAAATTGCAGCCCATTGACATTTAATATTAACTAACGAGTTTATTAATATTTAACGAAATAAAATAATCAATTTAGTTGGAAACTAAAAAAACAAAAGCATAACTAATACATACCCGAACTAATTATTAAAACAATCGAAAGAAAAAAATAGAAATTTAAGGTGATTTTCAAATAAACATAAAACATATTAATCGCGAACATAACTACGTAAAAATAAATTATTTATAGATTATAAAAGCGATAATGTTAAATTAAAATTACTTAAAAACCTTTTATATTTTAAAGAGCTGACTATTTTAAAAATCGCTCAAGATTAAGAAACCCGTCAACTAATTAGTCATTTCGAGGAGGTCAAAATTTGAGCGTCAACAACTATCCCTCATTTTACTTGGGTTGATGCAAGAAATTCGAGGGAAATAAAATTGACCAATTCAATTTTGACCAACCACATATTCATTTTAGAGAATGGGATTTGGTACGGACTTTAGGAATTATGGACGAACCTCGCAATGGGTTTCCTGCATATCTCAAGCCATATGAGAATTCAGGCCACTTGTAGTTCAAAATGCTTAATTTAACACATGATTTTGAAAGAGTTAAAAGCCATCTCGTTATCGAATTATGAAGGGATCAAAATGCTCGGGATTAGGCTTTAAGAGCGAATAATGGAATACAACCGAGTTTTCAACGTTGAGATCGCATACATATCCTTGTATCTTCAGGAATTAGGCTGTATGTAGTTCGACTCGATCAGTTTAGAAGAAAATCTCTTATGCTAGATAACCTTTGGTTCTAGACAAGTGACAAATTAAATTGAGTATGAAAAGGAGGCTCGTAACCTCTTAGCCATGAATATGGCGCACTTCACACCCATAATTAAGAACTTACACGGACATAATTTCTAAAGCTCTTAGCGCACTGTCATGCATATCTGAAACTTGCTTCCAACATATATCAAAATTTTTCGGATGCGAGACTGAAACTGACAGACCTAAAAAAAACCCACATGCCTTCTGATAAGGGTGTGGTTTGATTGTGGTGGAAGCCACTCCTCTGCTTACGTCCTAGAGTTTGACACTCCTCTTCGGACTATATCCCAATTCGTTGCTAAGAAAAGGTTCCACATTGTGCTGCATCCTCTTTTGATGTCGTCCGCACCTGTGGTATGTTTTGGAGAATTCATCCTTTCGGTTGCTCTCGACAAAGACTAAGATAAAACTTGTCATCATAAAAATGGAATTTAAATAGGAGACAGTGTCTTTTACCATGTCGACACTTAATTGTTGTCCTCGACATTTGACATCATCTCGATTGGTTTGAGACAAAGCAAATAAAGCTTATGTCTTGTGTTTGCAATATAGTCTTCAATGTATTCTTCATTTGATGTCAACATAAAGGACAGTTGATGTGGTATTCCAGCATTTCTCTTGTCGTCGTCTTCGATGCTCCTCTTGATGTTTACTTTTATCAAAATAAAAGAATACAGTTGATGCCGATAGATAAATATTTCTCTTGGGATGCACGATTTTCTTTTTTGGCAGTGCATGACTTCTTGCGGGGCATGAATACCTTCCCGTGATGGGTAACTTTCTGCGAGGTATTAAATCTCCTCACAATGCATAACTTTTCTGCGTTGCATGAGATCCTCTTGCGATGCATAAATTTCAAATAGGCATGGAATCTTGTTGTGATGCATAAATCTCTGCGAGGTATGAAATCTTCTCGCGATGCATAAATTTCTGCGAGGTATGAAATCTTCTCGCAATTCATAAACTTCAACGAGGCATGGAATCTTCTCGTGATGCATAAATTTTTGTGAGGTATGAAATCTTCTCGCGATGCATAACTTCTAGCGAGGCATGAATCCTCTCGCGATGCTTTGAGTTCTGTGAGGTATGAAATCTTCTCGCTATACTTGGATATTAACTCGCGATGCATGATCTTCTATGATGCATGAATATTGACTTGCGATGCATGATTTTTTGCGATGCATGGATATTGGCTCGCGATGCATGATCTTTCGCGATGCATGATCTTTTGCAATGCATGATTTTATATGATGCATGGATATCTTCCCGCGATGCACATATATTAACTCTTGATGTCATCCTTGGTACTAAATCAAGATAGTGCTTCAATGGAGCAACATAGTGATCTTCTGGGTGCTTTCTGGATAATCATATCATCTTCAATGATGATAACAATAAAGCAACTTCCAGATAGTATATCGTCTTGATCGACAATAAAATAACTGACACCTCCAGGTAATGCATAATATCATATCCGATATTATGATGCAAATGACTTCCTTTGAAGAAACCATAAACTCTTCCTTGAGATTTTCATTGGATTAACCTTCGAATCTAGCTGGACGTTCTTTATAAATTTCATGTTGTTGGAAATTGAATGAAATAAACAATTCATATTTCTAAGTCTCTGACATAAGCGATATAAAACGATTCCTGCTTCTAGTAAAACTATTGATTTTTGGATAGTTTCCTCCTCCTTTGACTTCTCCATATTCAACGATCGGAAGAATTTGTTGATTTCGGAGCAAAGCTGTAAACCTGCATCCACAGAAAAATTATTAGTTTTAAAAACGAACTGATCTGTGTGGATTTCTTCAGTTGTCTACTCCTTTTCCTGCTATCTCCGATTGATTTTCCGATCTCCCGACTCTTGATATATGAGACAATATTTTATGCCAAAACAAATAAAACGTAAAAGGAAAAAATTTAAGAGAAATAAATTTTGAGAAATAGTATCTGAAAAAGGTCGCTGCCAAGTCATGTCATATCAGGGTTAACAAACTTCTTTGAGTCCGATTCTTGGAGGTTTATCTGATTATTTGCTAGGGAGTTTTCAGAGTCACTCCTGACTTGTAGATCTATGCTGAAATTTTGAGGCCATCCTAAAAATTTCTGTCTCAGTTATCTGCCTTGTTTATTTTTCCACTGTAATTGAGTAGATTACGGAATTTTTGAGATCTCCTTTAAAATTCTGTGCCAGTTGCAAGTCTCAAAATTTCTTCAGTCTTGACTTGCTGAGGAAGAATCTTCTTCTTAAGAATTTTTGAGCCTCTCTCAAAAATTCTGTATAAGTTTCTATTGTAAATAGGAATAGAAATCTTACGGGAGATATGACCAAACCCTTGTGGCGCCTGCGTATCCCATTGAGGCAGGAATCAGGTCAAACATAGTTCCTTCCTCAAAGGTTGACAAAATATGAAAAATTACAAAGAAACCGACCGAGGACGACATTGGCCGCCTACGTATCTCATTTTTGAGAATTCAGGTTGAACGTAGTTCATTACAAAGAGGGATAAAAATTTAAGAAAAACAAATACAAGCAAACAGAATGATTACAAATAATGACAGAAATACAAACTGAAACTTTACACATAATATCTCTTGACAACATCTGAGTTGATTGGTTTTGGCCATGCGGTGCCATCCATCTCCGACAGGATCAAAGCACCTCCCAATAATACTTTACGAACAATGTAAGGCCCTTGCCAGTTTGGTGCGAATTTTCCTTTGTACTCATCTTGATGAGGAAAAATGCACTTAAGTACTAACTGACCGATTTCAAAATCTCTAGCTCTTACTCTCTTGTGAAAAGAGCGAATTTTTCTCTGTCGATATAGTTGACCGTGAAAAATGACAACCATTCTCTTCTCGTAGATCAAAGTTAACTGATGAATTCTCTTGCTCACCCATTCAGCGTTGCTCAACTCAGCCTCTTGGATGATTCTCAATGATGGTATTTCAACTTCAGCAAGTATGACTGCTTCTATTTCATATACCAGCAAGTATGGAGTAGCTCCAGTCGATGTTCTGGTAGTCGTTCGATAACCCAATAAAGCATATGGAAACATCTCATGCCAACCTCGGCGATTGTCAATCATTTTCCCCAGAATCTTCTTGATGTTTTTATTGGCGGCCTCTACAGCTCTGTTCATTTGAGGGTGATAAGCAGTTGAGTTTCGGTGAGTAATCTTGAATTGCTCACATATATCTCTCATAAAGTGAGTATTAAGATTCGCACCATTATCAGTAATGATGGATTCTGGTACCCCAAACCTGCTTATTAGATTGTTGCGAACAAAAGCAGCTACAACTTTCTTGGTTACCGACTTGTAAGAAGCTGCTTCCACCCATTTGGTGAAATAATCAATAGCAACCAAAATGAATTTATGTCCATTTGAAGCGGCTGCTCTATCAGACCTATGACATCCATGCCCAAGCTACAAACGGCCAAGGTGAACTCATATCATTAAGTTCATAAGGCAAAACTCGTATCAATTCACCGTGCACTTGACATTTGTGGAATTTTTGCACAAACTTGCAATAATCATTCTCCATAGTCATTCAGAAACACTCGGCTCGTAGGATCTTTATTTCCAAAGTGAGACCATTCATATGCGTACCAAAAACTCTTACATGTATCTGTTCAATAAGCTTCGCAGCTTTAACAACATCAAGACATCTTAGAAGACCCAAATCTGGAGTCCTCCGATAAAGGACTTCTCCACTTAGAAAGAAATTGAGAGCCATACGACGTATCGACTTCTTTTGGTTGGACGTAGCATCTTCAGGATAATCTCCGGATTTCAAATACTTTTTTATATCAAAATACCATGGCAAACAGTCTAGTTCTACTTCAACATGTGCACAATGGACTGGATGTTCTTTCAGATCTATATCCAGAGGATCAATATAATCAATATCCGTATGTTTAATCATTGAAGCAATGGTGGGAAGAGCATCAGCCAACTCATTCTGTATTCTGGGCGTAGGTCTGAACTCGATCTTACGAAATCTTTTGCCCAACTTCTTTACATGCTTTACGTAAGGTATAATCTTTGGGTTCTTCACAGCCTATTCTCCTTGAACTTAATGAATCAACAAGTCTGAATCTCCAATAACCAGCAACTCGTAGAAATTCATGTCAACGATCATCCTCAAACCAAGAATGTAAGCTTCATACTCAGTCATGTTGGTCGTGCAATTAAATCGGAGCTTAGTTTCCATGGGATAGTGCTGACCAAATTCTGACACTAAAACTGCTCCGATGCCTTCCCTTTGATGATTTGCCGATCCATCAAAGAATAATCTCCAACCCCAATATATTTCAAAAATATCTTCACCCACAAATGACACTTCTTCATCGTGAAAATAAGTCTTAAGCGGTTCATACTCTTCATTAACAGGATTTTTTGCAAGCTTTATTGCCTTTTGAGTCACATACACGATATCAAGCTCACTCAACAACATTTGCCATTTAGCTAACTTTTCGATCGACATCGCCTTTTGGAAAATATACTTCAATGGATCCATTCTGAAAATGAGATATGTGGTATACAAAGATAAATAATGTCTCAACTTCTGGGCAAGCTAAGTCAAAGCACAACACGTTCTCTCCAACAGAGTGTATAGAGACTCGTATGGAGTAAACTTCTTGCTTACATAATAGATAGGTTTTTACTTCTTTACTTTCTCGTTGTGTTGACCGAGTACGCATCCATATGCATTATCTGAGACTGACAAATACAACAACAAAGGACTCTCTTCTCGCGGAGGAACCAATACCGGTGGATTTGACAAATAGTTCTTGATAGCGTCAAAAGCAATCTGACACTCTTTAGTCCATTTTGTCAGAGCGTCTTTCTTCAACAGCTTGAATATATGCTCACACACCATGGTTGATTGAGCTATGAATTGACTGATGTAGTTTAACCTCCCTAAGAAACTCATCATCTCTTTTCTCGTCTTCGGCGGAGGTAACTATTGAATTGCTTTAATCTTAAAAGGGTCGAGCTCAATACCCCTTCCGCTGACTATAAATCCCAACAACTTTCTGGTTGGAACTTCAAAAGCGCATTTGGCGGGATTTAACTTCAAGTTGTAACGACGCAAACGATTAAATAATTTCCTTAGATGTGTCAAGTTGTTAGAACTCTCGCGGGACTTAATTATGACGTCATCCCCAAATGGAATCACTCTGTAATGATATACACCCCGAGGTGTAATAAAAGCTGTCTTTTCTACATATTCCTCGTCCATCAGAATGTGATGATAACTTGCATAACAATCCACAAATGACTGCATTTCATGCTTAGAACAATTATCAATCAAAATATGAATATTCGGCAATGAAAAATTATCCTTTGGGCTAGATTTGTTGAGGTCTCTGTATTCGACACAAATCCCGAGTTTCTCATCTTTTTTGGCGACAAAAACAACAGTGGCCAACCAAGTCCGGTATTTTGTCACTTCCACAAATCAAGACTCTATCTGATTGGTGATATCTTCTTTAATCTTTAAACTCAATTCAAGCTTAAAATTTTGATCCTTTTGCTTCACCATATCAAACCCTAGATTAATTGGTAGTTTATGAGATACAACATCGGTACTCAGCCCTTGCATGTCACCGACTTCCATGACAAACACATCAATATATTCAGAAAGCAAATGAATTATTACCTTTCTTTGATCATCATTCAAGTGGATGCTGATTTTGACCTCTTTGACACATTCTTGGTCTCCCAGATTTACAGTTTCAGTTTCCTCTAAATTCGGTTTATGTTGATTTTCAAACTGCTGAAATTCCTTGGCGACATACTATGGTTCTTCACTTTCTTCTTCGTAATCATCAACCTCGTCATCACCTACTTCATTTTGTTCATTCAGATCGTGACATGACATGACATTGGCAGGTTTAAAACTTACGTTACTGAAACCATAAACAAACAAAGTTAGACAATCAAAGTATAACAAATGAGTAAATAAATAAATGTTATTGACAAAAGAGGCTTTCATTCAAATTGGAAAACAATGAAAATTTTGGCCATGGCATTGGGCCATGTTGCCTTTTTTGAACATCACGATGGAAACTCAAAAATTCAAATAGTTAAGAAAAATGCAAAATGGTGGGTCTCAAGCCTCTTCCAAACTACCACCGGTTTAAATATGAATAAAACGATGCCCTTCTACCAAGGAGTTTGGGGGATCAGGATGGCGTAGAGGTCTAGTTCTGCAGCATCTCTCCTGGCTCAGCATCACGGAATCATGTCAGCTCGACCTCTTCTTTAATAACAACATTGATCTCCTCGAAAAGGCCACAGATTCCTTCCCCAAGGTCTTCATGCTCGACATACTCCTGGACTGGGAACGATTGGTATAGATGAGGAATTGGGTTGGCCAATGCTTGATCCTTCTTCTTTGTCTTATCATCATCATCTGTGGGGAAGTACCCCAATCCATACCGTGCCCCTTTGACAGGAACTTGAATGGGCTCAACAATTCCTTGGGAATTTCTTCCTAATCCGAAACCTGTTTCAAAACCATTATGCAGCATCACAGTGGCTATCATCTTGTGGACGGCAGACATGAGAGTCTGTGGGGCCAAGTCCTCACCAGTGGAATTTACCAGCTCCACCTTGTAGAAATCTGTACCTCACGGTACTTTATCAATGATTGGCGCCTGTCTGCCAGAGTGACTCCCTTTGCTATGAATAACCAACTCTTCGTTCTTCCTGACAAGTTTCATCATCTGATGTAGAGTACAAGGGACAACTCCAGCCATATGGATGAAAGGTCTTTGCAGAAGAAGGTTATAGCTGGTATCGGTATCCAATACTTGAAACTGTGCACTAAATTCTGCTGGACCCATTTGGATGATCAGATTAACCGCTCCAAACGTATCTCTCTATACTCCGTCGAAGTCTCTCACGTTGACTTGATTTTGCTCATGTTTTCCCAAGTCAAACCTTAATTGCCTCAACGTCGACAATGGGAAAATATTCAGAACAGATCCATCATCCACCAAAATGCGATTTACGACATTCTCACAGCATACCACAGTGATGCGCAATGCCTTGTTGTGTGACCTCCCTTCAAAAGGTATCTAATTGTCACAAAAACTAATTCGATGCCCTTGAATAACCTGGTGAATCATACCGGCCACGTTAGCGCTGCTTCTGCCCGCAGGTACGTACGTATCATCGAGTGCCTTCATCAAAGCTTGCATGTGTGATTGAGAACTAATCAGTAGGGCCCATACAGAAATCTGGGCTCTAGTCTTCTCCAAATGCTTGACAATAGAATAATCTGCGGTTGCATTCTCCTCCAAAAATTCCTCTGCCTCACCCTCTCTTATTGGCCTTTTAGCTTGATTCTTTTTTTGACTTCCGAGAGCAAGATCCTCAGGAGTATAACATCTTCCGGATCGGGTCATACCTTGTGGGGTGGGGGATGATTTGGTTAAATGGTAAATGGATTTTGGTAATTCGGGGGTGGACTTTGGTATAGTGGAGCTTGGACGTTTGGATAAGTTGAGCTAGCATTCTGATAAATTGGAGGATTATTGGTACGACTAGCTTGCGTGTAGCAAACTTGGTAGGAATTTTTAGAAGGTTAAGAATGACCTTGGGAATATGAAGAGCTTGTGGGAGTTTTCCTTCGCCCATATGAAATAGTAGCAATTTCTTCTCTTTTCTACTTCAACGTTCCTGATGATCCGGGCGATGCAGTAACACGAGATATCTTTCCCGTTTTCAACCCCTCTTCGATAGTCTCATCAAGTTTGACTATCTCAGCAAATTTAGCTCATACGAGCAAAATGACTCGATCATAATATTCGGGCTCTTGCACCCGTACGAACAGTTCTATAATTTATTCTTCAGACATGGGCAATCTCACCCTCGCCGCTTCATTTCTACACCTATAGGCAAAATCCTATAGCTCTCGGTTGATTTTTGCTTTATATTTTCCAAAGAGTATCAATCTAGAACAATTTCCAGCGGGGCCATTATCGGGTTTAATGCGAGGGGAACCATTCAAGAGCTTCTTGGCACAGGATTTGACAGAAGAGCCGTATCAATATAGCTTCATCCCTTCCAACTCCCACGAGCTGGTCACAATAGGATCTTAGATAATCCATAGGGTTGCCCACTCCTCCGAAGGTGTCAAACATCGGGATCTTGAACCCTTCTGGAAGGTCCAAATTTGAATGAATACATAAGTCTTCATAATTAAGCCCGACGATATCGGAGACGTATTTGATTTCTTTCATGGCTTTCTTGATCTCTTCTTTTATGTCGACCTTTACCTCCTCCTTTGACCTCCACTCTTTTTCCTGTTCCTCATAATGATCCAACTTAGAACCGTGCACATTGTGCTCGGCAGGGAAGGGGATTTGGAAAGTGGTGCTTTTGGGTAAGGTTGGAGCTACAGAGGGACTCTGGGCATTTTGAGCAGTTCAATAATTTTGTGGGTAAGTCTGCGGATTGGTATTCTGATTTAAGTGGTGGTGGGATGTTTGTGGATCAAAGTATTTTGATTTGGATCTTGATTTTTGTTTTGCTGTGATGGAGCGGTTTAAGGTTAGGTATTTTGAGGATAAGAGGTCATTTGGGGGTGGTTGTTTTGAGAAGGAGGTGAAGTTTGGTAGGATGCGGAAGCATATTGGAGATTTTAGGTGGTAAGATCTATAACCGACGGATTTTGAGCAGGTGTAGATGGTTAGTTCTGGGCTGGATCCATATTTGAGGAAGAGATGTAGATTGAGGGTCTCCCATCAGCAGCGTTAGCAGAAAATCCTGGCGGAGGCAGATCTTGTCTCCTTTGCATTTCAACTCCCATTTCTGCAATCTGTTGCATCAACTACAGAGTCAGCTCATTTTTTTGGCTGCTACAGTCGGTTGAGCCACCACAACATCAGTAAGACTTACTTCTACATTACTGTCCTCCATAACATTCTTTCCTTTGTCTGAGCTTTGTCTAGGGAAGGAATTTGCAGGACCTTTTGATCTAGTGAAATAAGGATGATCTGCCAGCTTTTGATTGACACGGATTAGTTTCAAAGTATCTAAGAAAGAGAAACAACTCAAAGGTAGATTTATCAGTGCAAATTCAGAATACAAAATGAATAATATCACATAGAGAGCAGATAAACACACAAGTTGCTTTGTTTAAGGATGTTTTCAACCCACGAATAAGACGGAAACACATTTTTTAACAAGCAGGAATTTGTTTGCTTTAGTTTTGACACTGTCTCAGAAAGGCTAAACCACGTTGAGCTAAGGTCTTCTTGCAGCTTCTCGTTGACCTTCGTATCTTCTCGTAGCATAGAAGAGGAGAATGAAAATTTTTAAATATAGGGGCCGGGCCCGGAAAGGCGGTCTACGTATCTCATAAGGAGAATTCAGGCCTAACATAGTTTTGGTACAAGAGAAAACATTTTCATTCATTCGTTCATTACGATTATAAGGAAATTGAAATGCAACAATAAAGCTTTTAAAAGATAAAATGATGCCGAGACGTTAGTCATTTCCCTTCGTGTTGCAGCATCAGTATCCTCCTTTCATACTGCCTAGGAATGGAGGCTTGTAGACGATTTCCTCGTCATCGTCTTCCTAGTCGGTTCAGGGTGAGCATTATCGGGACCTCTATTACCCCCTTGCTTGTAGACGGGGTGTTTTTTGCGCATTTTCTGAAGTTTATCAATTATGTTGCTATGGAAGGCTTTGTTCTTCTTCTTCAGTGCGACCATCCTTTCTCTCATAGAGGTGAATTCTTCCTTTTTCATTGTCAGCTCTTCATAAAGTGACATGCAAATAGATAACAGAGCGGGGGTCTCCGATTCTATCCTCGCCTCTCTCGCTTCTCTTTCTTGCAGTTTGAACCAAAGCATGTCCAAT